AGAAAAAGTGGGAAAAGAAAGATGACGTGGGGTAAATAAATGCGTTGGAAGTTTGGGTTTCGTGTAGCGTAGTCCTTTTTATGGCCGAAATGTAGAGTATATTAATAAAGTCACACGGTTACGTGTTGGATTTGAGAAATACGAATGCAAGACCATTGAGCAAGTAAACGTACTTGTTCATTAAGGATTTCAAATGATCTCATTCATCCTTCTTCCACAAGGATTATTTTGCCATAATTAATGCCCCATATATTATAAAGCAAATGATTAGGAATATTTTTTTTTAAAAATAGTATCATCTGATATCCAACACTTTTTCTGAATCTTATTATCCGGCAACAGAACAACTCATAATTCAGTTTGGGATTTATAACTTTCCTTTCCATTACTATAAAAGTGTCTTCTTTTAAATTTAGGAGGTGTTTGACAACCATAAAAAATGCTTCTAAGAAGTATTTTTTTACAAAACGGAACAATCTTTTTCATATATTTACTTTGTAAACTGTAAAAATATTTTTAAAACTATGGTTTGATTTCTATCCAAACACCTCTTTGAATTTGAAACTCAAAGCGATCTAGCGGGTCTTACACCATTAGTCTGCTATTGACAAGGGCAATATTATTATTATTATGAATATTTAATAGACTCAAATTTTTTGTTATAATATATGTACCTTTTGAATTATTCTTAATTGAGATTTTTGATGGTTTGCAAGCAGACAATCTTCGGTTAAGCCACTTCTGCGTCACTAATATTTGGATATATAATAATTTGGAGAAATGTTACTTGCATTGAATAAATGGAAAATTAAAAGAAATGTAATTGAAAATTGAAATAATAATTCCTATAAGAGTTAATTAATTTACGTGGATTAGAAAAGGAGAAAACTTAGGTCCTGTGATTTGGATACACTGGGTCCAGTGCACGAATAAATTGCTGCCATCTGAATTATTCTACACGTCAACATTTAACCCCTCAAAAACTCCATTAAATCTCCCGTTAACCTAAATAAAATTTCAGCTAAAGTATATATTTGCTTTTTTAATTTTATATAAAATTTTAATTTAATCTTTTAACTTCAAAAAGTATACTTTTAGTCATTTAATCCTAAAATTTCTTTTAAAAGATGATAATATTAAGATCTTAAATATTGATAAAATATTCTCAAATTAATATTAACATATTAAATCTAATTTTCAAAACATCCATAATTGTTAAAAAAAATCATTAATGTCTAATAATTTTATGTTAAAGGACTAAATATATACTTTTAAAATTAAAAAACTAAATTAAAATATTATATAAAATTAAAAGACTAAATGTATATTTTATTTTAGCTTAAAATTTCTTTATTGTTGGAGTAAAAAACGAATTTCTTCTTTGCCATTAGAACCCTGAGATCATAACTTATTCTCTAATTTCTCTCTCTACCTCAACTACATTCACAACAGACCACTTCATTTTTTTTTTTTAAAGTCGCGAGTCTGTGTGCAGTGCATTCATTCCTTGGTGTAGCCGTCGCTGCAAAGTCATCGTGGAAAACTGTTGATGGGGGCTCTGACGCGGGAGCAGAATGGGAACGATCTTCTTGCTCAATTCGCGCTAAATTTCTCAGCAAAGTCGTTGCGGAAGGACAATTGGAAGCTTGCGAAGCCAAGATTTTCTCCGGAGCATCCAGCTTGAAAGGTAGCAAGTCGGAGAATAACACAAGGAAGAAGAGCATCAGTGGCGGCCATGGATGAACTCGCGGAGGTGGGTAATGCTAACGGAGTTTCTTGGGGGGTTAAATGTTGACGTGTTGAATAATCCAGATGGCAGCAATTTGTTGGTGCATTGGACCTAAGTTTTCTCCATTAAAAAACTAAATAAATTAGTTAATGTTTTTTTTGGATTTCTCTTCCGGTATCCCAGGGAAATAGGCATCTTTCAGCCGTGACAACGTCCCCAAACTAATCCGGATCGAGGGCTTGCAAGGAACCTTTCGGTCGGCGCCCTCTGGCCCCTCAGGGTGCTGCATTCCCACAGCTCGAACTCGAGACCTGTGGTTAAACTAGGACAGCCCCAGCCAGCTGACCTAACCCCTCGGGATTAATAAATTAGTTAATGTTTTAATGTTAACAAACATGATTTTCCTAAAATATTACTGTATAGTATGAAATATGTCCATTTTTCATAATCATGATAATTAAGATATAAGATCTCTTTAACAGGGTCACATCCCAACATTAAACGCTTCCTTCATGTTCTAAGCAAGGGCAATCAGTTATTGGGATTGTTTGGTTGAACTCATACTAAATGCTTACATTTTTTGATAAGCATGTATATTTTTATTGCAAGTAAACCTATTCAAGTTACTATCAGGTACCAAATATGAGTAGAGGTGAGTATTCGGTTTTTCGATTTGATTTTTAGTGATAACTGAATAATTGAATAGAATCAATTTTAAATATCGAACTGAAATTGATTAATCAAATTAATCAAACCTGAATTAACCGAGATATTTTGGTTCGTTTAAACGAAATATATAAATGTAAAAAGTGATTTTAAATTTAAAAAATAAAACACAATTATAACTATTAATTACTAAATATTTCATTATTTAATATGATTTCTTATAATAATATTTATTATGACCGTGTTTAGTGAATATAAATATATTTAAAGAGCTCACATATACCCACATATATGTATCTGTTATAATAATATTTATTAATATAAATATAAAATATATTTATTTTGGTTTTTTGATTTTAACCAATTTTTTTTCTAATAACCAAGAGCCGAACATTGAAAATCTAATTGTTAAAAAATAAAAACTGAATATATAATTGAAAAATGAAATAACCGAACAAAAAAAACCAAAATTGAAATTGGTTTGGTTCAGTTTTTTATTACGATTCGATTTTGCTCACCTCTAAAGGTGACTATCTCTCCCAATGAGGATTCAATTTTGGTTTGTTTAGGCCCTGGTTGATATCACGTTTGAAATTATTTATAAACACATTTTATACAAGTCGAAACAAAACTCCTTTCATATATTTATCTTGTATTCTGTAAATCATGATTAAAAAATTGCTAATAAATCATTGTAAATGGATTTGTGAGAGACTAGTCATTTGAGTTTTTTTTTACTAGACCCAATCTCGTTAGTACACTTTCTTAAATTTTGTTTAAATGTGATATTGTGAGTTTAATCTTCTGTAGATATAACAGACGTAGGAGATAAACGATACAAAAAAAAAACAAAAAACAAAAACATTATAAGGCCTATTTTGTGTACAAAAAAGGTAGGGCTGTTCGAGTATATAGTTGAATTCTTAGACAGGATGGGCCGTAGTTATGGGCGTGACACTTCCGGGTTACTGGCTCAGAATCAGAAAGCATCAGGCCCATAAGTAACTTTATCTTCATATGCCTATCCCACACACATCTCTAGAACTTCCAGATGCCTATTGGGATTGGATTTAAAAAAAAAAAAAAAATCTCTTGTAATGTGACAAGTCAAATTTTAAATTTTTATTAGAATAGATATTCATATTTAGTACCTGATAGTGTTTCAGATAAAATTATTTCCAATGAAAGGGTGTATGTATTTAGCCAAAAAAAAAACTTCCAAAATCATATGGAGAATGACTCACAAGCAACAATAAACTATGCATATGACTTTTCAAGAATTAAAAAGTGATAGGATCTAATCCTAACTTAACTACTCATTCGAAAAATTTTCTAGTCATCAGGGGAGTTTTTCCTTCTTTTTTTTTTTTTTAAAATGAGGACACTTGAATCATTTCACAAAAAATTAATTTCAAATGGTTCCTAAAAATTTCATAGACATGCCATTTTGAGACCATATGGAGGTTTTGCATATTTTGGTGATAAATTATATTTCGTCCTCTTCATATATATATATGTATGTATATATTTGAGTACTAGCTTATAAGTACTATCAATAATATCATTGATACTCAATTACTAAAGCCCCATTCAGTCAACAAATAAAAAATGAAGTTTTTATTTTACAAATATTTATCTAAAATTAAAAACAACTCTCTCCATTTCTCGCTTTTGCCAATGCATAACTTTTACTTAAAGTATATGCAATTCATGAGACGATGCTTTTTTTTTTTTTTTAATTTAACTACCTCACTACAAATAAAGATATATGATTAAGTGATTAAATTTGTTCAAAAAATTTTCAATTTTTTTAAAAATATATTATATAGAACCGAAATAGGAAAATTGCATTAAATTTTTAATGTAAGTAAGTTTCAGAAAATATAATTAATTATTTTTCCCAGAAAAATATAATTAATTCACACCTGGGTCTGTTTTGTATGAGGATGGGGGAATTTTAATAAATTAAATTCAAAAAATTGCAGATATGAAGTTTAAAGCTTTTGATTAATTTTTCTACTTCTTCATCCTACATATTTTTTTGTTAAAATTTCATAATCTCATTTCTCTAATTTTTTTAATTGAGCTCCTTAAATTTTTATAGGTTCCCATTTATTTACCTATCATTTCTAAAAAAGTACTCCATCCGTTCCTTATTAGAAGAGACATTTGATGTTCAGGGCATATTCCTGTATATAAGAGACACTTACAAGTTGTCTCTACTTTTTTGTGTTGATTTACTATTTTATCTATATTTATTATCTCCAACTCACACTCTCTCTCCCTCCCACTTCTCTTTCTTTTAATAATTTAATTGTTCTCTCTCATGCTCTCTCTCCTTATTAATGAGGGCATTTTTGAAAAAAAATTATATTTTTTACACATTAATTATTCTTAACTAATTTTAACTATTTTTTTTATTAACGTATTTCGATTATTTGTCTCTTATAATAAAGAACAGAGGGAATACTTTACAAGAGGGAGGGGCAGACTGGGAGTAACCATGAGAAATTTCTATAGGTTCCCATTTATTTATCTATATTTCACCAAAAGACGTTGCCATTTACATACTTCAGGCTTCGTTCTTTGCGGGCGCTCCCTCTTAAAACCCCGTCCCTCTTCTCAAAATCTTTTCTGCGCCTAAACCCCTCTTCCTTTCTATATGGCACTGGACAAAGAAAAGCTTCAGGAAGAATCTGTAATACGCCGCTTCTATCAGATTGTTCTTAGTTGGGACTACTTTCGTCTTCTCAAGGAATCTAAGGTAGTTGCTTAACTACTTTCTGTCTCTGGGAAAAAAGAAAAAAAACTATCTTTCTGGTCGATTCTTAATTGTGGAGAGTTTTGGCATTTGGTTTTTTCAGAAGCAGAAGAACAATGGGGGAGAGACTGGGGATGGAGATTCGTCTAGACTGCCCAAAGTGAAGTCTCAGTACAAAGACGTTGATGAATATATCTCTACTTACGAGCCTCTCATTTTTGAAGAAGCAAAATCTCAGATAGCTAAGGAGAACGAGGACGAAGAGGGTATTTTTTGCTTATTTATTTAGTTATCCTGCTTTATGTCTTATTTGTTTGATTCGAAAGAATTCTCTATTTTGCTGGATTTGCAATATCTTCGGCCTATTGAAGGATGGTATTGGCTTTTGAATGTTAACAAACTTTCATCCTTGGCACACTTAAATATAAGACGTTCTTCCGGTAATATAATTTTTGTTAGTAAGGTGTGCTAGAATTACACCCCCAAACCCCCCCCCCCCCAAAAAAAAAAAATCCTTGACCTTGACTTATGTAAACTTGTTTGGATTCATACTGAGAAGATAAGAAAGATTTCTCTAAGTTCCTCCTTAAAAGTTTTTTTCCTTTTTCTCTTTATACTATCATTGAAGTTGCACGAGGAAGTCACAAATTTGATTACGAGCATTGATTTTCGTTTGGAATTTTGAGTGATGATAAATGAATGCCTCTCTATGGTGCTGAAGAACTCTACTTAAACTGCAGTGACTGAATGGAAGTTAGGCGTAGTAAAGAGTTGCACAGAGGCAGATGGGTTTCATTTTATAGAACTTCCTTGTGAAATCAAGGAGGGTGAATCAATATCGCAGAATGATCTTCTACTACTCTCAAAAGAAAAGGTACTAATGATCAGAAAATGTACCCTTGCAAACTTTGCAGGTCCTACTATGATGTATTCTTCTATTATTATTTTGCCTTCTACAGCCCAGATTAAGTTGATTGTTTTTCTGTTTAAAGGTAGCGTGCTTTTGCTTCTAATTGTTGACGTTTCTCCTAGTGAATTTGTAAACGGCAATTCTTACGTCCTTTGAGAATATTTTTGCAACTAGAAGCAGTATTTTTATTGTTAAGCTAATCATCAATAAGGAAGGATCTAGGAAACATTGACATTGTACTGGACATGGAACAAAAAACTGACATGAATGTTGCCGCACAGAAAATCTGAAATATCCATGTATTGTATAAATTTTATTTTGTTTCTACTATTTTGAGGAGGGAAGCTGGGGCTCCACTTGCTTTGAATTTGAGAAAACAAAAAAGCATTGTTGTCAGTCTTTTCCTTTATCTACTTTGTCTCTGATGTATAATGGGCCTGAACTTCAAATGGATTAATTTATTTTATCATTGTCATGATGCAGTTTCTGAATGGTAAGAAATTACCTACAGTTTATGCATTTGCTTTGGTGGATCACATACGTAGATTTTCTGAGGCCAGACTTCTTCGAGTCAGACTCAATCTAGCTGGAGAGTTCTCGCATTTTAATACAAATGATGTAAAGTCTTGCCCGAGACTGTTGAATATGCGTTGTCATATTTCCGAGCCAGAAAGGCAGCTGTATTTTCTTAAGGTAATTTATTTTGACCAATTTTCTATTCTCCTTGTTATGTCTGGCAGTTCATTTTGATTCCTGATCTCGCATCCTCTCTGGTCTTCATTCTAATGAAGCTGACGTAACAAGTTCTGTTCTGGGGATGAATTGTGTGTTTGAAACTCTTAAACTAAGTATCTTTTACATTTTCATTTCCTTTAGATTTGATTCGTATAATATCTAATTGTACGGATGAGGCTTGTTGTTCTCATTGTTGTTGTTGTTGTTGTTTCTGGTGTTGTAATATTCTAATTGTTATCTTCTACTTATAAAAATTTGTTTTGTTGTCACTCAAAGGCTGAAGAAACAATATTCATTGGATTTCTAGATGCATGAGCATTGCAATTTGACATGGGAACTAGATTTTTTTATAACGAATTCTCTCTCTGGAAATCAATATATTTGATATCTATAATACAGCTCTATGTTTTAATTACATAGCACAAAAATGTGGATCCGCTATAAAATATTAGATGGCATAGACATCATTTAAGTATGTTCTTAGAAAAGGTCCCTACTACATAGGTAGTGTTCTTAATGTTTAGGGGCCATTCATTTGGCTCTTCAAGAAATCGTGTATTTCTCTCTCTTGTATTTTTTTTTTTAAAATGGCAAAAGCTCCCTAATTTCTAAATTATATATTAAAGTATTTTGTTAAATCATAGCCATTTTATTAGGATAATCGCACTTCTGTGCATTTGTGTACTTGGAGATTTTCAAAAGGTTCTCTTGTTCATTGAAAAGGGCAGGAATGCTTAATTTTTGTTTTACCAAGATAAAGGTTATTGTATTCCTGAAATTAATTTGGTATTCTACAGATATGCAGTTTATCCACAATTGCCCGTGAGTATTTGGCAGTGCGATCTATAAGCTTTCTTCCTTACAAGGATTTGATATTATCAGCTGGTAGGCAGAATTCTGGTACCACAGATCAGGGTTGGAAAATCCCATTGCCTTTGAAGGAATACGTTGAAAGTACTTTCAATCAATATCAACGTGAGGCCATAACAGTAAGTCTCTACTATGAGGATGTCATATATCTGTATATTTATGTTTATATGCATTCAGACACACAAGTGCACGGTCAAGTTTGTATATGTCTATGTGTACATGACACATGTATATATTTGATGGCCTTTTCCTCAAAAAACTTTTGTGTTCTCTTGCAGGCTGGTCTTTTACCTAATGCCTTTGTCTTGATACAGGTTTGTCTTGATGTGTGCCCTTATTTTGATGATTTAACATACTTTAATTTTTTTTCCACTGTAATATTTTGATGCCATGTGTGCATTGGAATACTTATGATCCTTTGCTGAAGAGGAAGACAGCTATCTTTGCATCAAAGAGACGGTAGTTTTAAGGAGATTAATTTTTGTTGAAACTGACAAAATTTGGTTGTCAGCATCTCAACCTTCTTGTTCTCTTTATTCACGTTGATAACAGCTCCGCCTTCTTTTTTTTTACCTGGTACATCGTTTTAACCTTTGCACATGTGGTGTTGGGGTTGGCTGTTCAGGCAGGTGCTAGGCCTGCATGGGATAAACCATGTCCTTGATGGGCAGGAATAGGCTTGGGGCACTAGGGCATCTTCAGTGTCCCCTGCTTGAGATTGATCAACTGATTCATGGGTTGTTGTATCACCTTCTTATCTGTTAGGGATCTTGTTCCTCATACATTTGTTTCTTTTTTTTTTTTAAATATTTTAAAAATCTCATCGAACAAGGTTGGGTCGGACCATTCAACTGTTACTTCTGGAACTAGGATATGAATCTGTGTCATTTTCACTCGTGTCGCTAGGTTGTGTTTTTACATGATGAACTGCTTTCTGTAATATCTTTTTGACATTCATTATCTTCTTATAATCTTTTCTCAGCATATGTATGGATTATTATGATATAATTTGTGTTTTGGTTATTGGCCTCTGTAAATGCTTTAATTGGTTCTAACAAAATTCTTTTAGGGTCCCCCAGGGACTGGAAAGACTCAGACCATACTTGGACTTCTAAGTACCATTTTGCACGCAACTCCAGCCAGAGTGCATTCTAAGTATGGCTCTTTCTAGATTTTGTGCTGATCTGTTAAAAATAATCATATGTTGGTGATTTTCATTGTTATATTGAGTACAATATTACAAGAGTATGCTTGGTAGAGGTGAGATTTAAGGGAATGCAGTGGAGGAAGTAAAAAATTGGAAAATTTTGCTTCTACAAAGTATGCCCTAAGAACTTAAGCAATTAGCACACACTTATATTTCCCTGATGCCTGTTAGTTAAATCCATTTCCTCGCTGATGTATTAATCTCTTTTGCCTTTTAGGAGTGGAGCATTTGAGCTGAAGCGGGGACCACAGTTGCCAATTGAGGAAAAGTATTTGAATTATTGGGCTTTATTTACTTTAGTGTTCCTCATGTTCTTGCTGTTGCTTTTTTGTAATGCTTTCATGTTGAGACCTTTTTTTATTTTCTTATTGGGAAATCTATTGATTTGTGTCTTTTATTTGATTGTTCTTTTTGAATATAATATATTTTTGAAAGTTAATAAGTACAAGTTTTTTCACACTAATTACGAGTTTGAAAAGTATATTTGAATGATAAACATTAGTATTTGCTATTTTGGAAGACCTTTATCCAATATCCAGTACTTTAATATTTGCAGTGCTTTTCACGATTCAGGCATTTGTAGTGCAGGCAATAGGAACGTGAAGTTTTATCAGATTCAGATAGGTTTCAGATATTGCATATGTTAGAGAATATAGGAATGTATCACATATTTCATATTCAGATTAGGATATCCGAGTGGGTACCTGCACATTGCCATCTTTCTAGACAAAACGCAACCAAAAAAAAAAAAATCTCAAACAACGATTTATGTGACACAAAAAACACCATATGGATAGTATATAATTACTTTATCATATACCATCTTGATTAATATATTTGTAAATTGCATAAATAAGAAAAAGAGAAACAAATACACACACACTAAAGGTTTGGGACAAGGTGGCTGTCATACTACTCAAACCCAGAGCCCTTAAATTACTGTAATAATCCCCATCACAAAAATCAAGCAGGTATTTTGGGTTTCCTTAGGGTCTTCGTATTTTGCCCATCTCTAGTCACTTGCCGTCCTGATATGTAATTGGCTTGTTGACTCTAGTGTACCAGTGTAGGTTATACTATTATAACCATATAAGCACTTCTGCCATGACCCAACCAAATAGGAACAGAATGTTATATGACCCTTAAAAAATAGTAGTTTGTGATGTATTTTTTCTGTATTGTCCTTGTGCAGATACAAGCATTGGGGACTGGCATCTCCATGGTTGACTGGCATTAATCCCAGGGACAGTTTGATGCCAAAGGATGGCGATGATGGTTTCTACCCGACCACAGGAAATGAATTAGTGAGTATGAATCATTCTGTCGACATTTTGATTTCACAATATTATCTCTTACTATATTTTTTCATATGTTTTTAGAAACCTGAAGCTGTAACCTCAAGTCGCAAGTATCATGTACGAGTGCTAGTATGTGCTCCATCAAATTCTGCCTTGGATGAGATTGTGTTGCGTGTTTTAAATGGAGGTATCAACTTCCTCACTCAATCTTTCATCCTTCTGCCTTATATGCTTGGCCAAAAAAAAAAAATTTAGATTCTTATATTACATGCATCTTTGCCATTAAAAAAAAAAAAAAAGAATCCATCTTTGGTGGAAAAATGTATTTACATTACCTTTACTTGACGACACGTTAAATAAACTTTTAAATAGAAGTGTGTTGGCAATTATTTTTCTCATATAGCATGCAACAGTTAGGATCCGTTTGTTTAAGATTGGAGAAAAAAGTGATTTTGGCTGATTAAAAAATGCAAGGGAGTTGTTGGGGTAAGATGGGGGTATCTGTTGAAAATAATTTACTTTGAGCTTATTTTGTTAAGCTAACCCCTATCTTACAACTCCCTTGTATTTAATCAACCAAAATCACTTTTTTCTCTAATCTTAAACAAATTGTCATCAGAAGTGATTCTGCATTAAGTGTATCACTTTCAATAATGATGTCTTCCATTTAAAGAATACAAACACTCGAAGTTGTGAAGGTTTGAACTTTCAGCATTGTTTATTTTGGTAAATAATTAAGATATGATGTGATCTCCAAGAGTATGTAGTTTCTACTACATTGTCATTTAAAAAAAAATTATTAAGGTTTTGTTGTTGTGGGTTTGTAAGTTCAACACAGGCATTCTTTCGAGGGAGAAATCAACGCCATTTAGGCTGAATGTGCAGTTGTTTGCTAGCCCTTGTAGTTAATGATTTCTTATTATGAGCAGACTAACTGACTATTTAACACTAGTTTCCTTTAGAAGTCTGTTTTTATAGGAATCTTGCATCTGATGCAGTTTTTGTTCATTAATTTTTGTTACTGTTGGATTTTATCAGGTGTACATGATGAAGGTGACCGTTCTTATTGCCCTAAAGTTGTGCGTATTGGTCTTAAAGCACATCATTCTATCAAGTCAGTTGCCCTAGATGAACTTGTATGTATATGTAGATACAACACTGATTATTTCTAAAAATGTAATTTTTTAACTTTCCATGCTACCGATTCAACAAAATTTGGTTATAATACCATTTGGCTTCGGGTATTTTATTTGGAAACTTCAGCACTATATATATTCCCAGAGTTCAATGAAAACGCTCTAACATTGCTCCTTTAGGAATCATCTCATTGAAAATAATTATTTAGTTGACTATGGCGATTGCATTGTAGTTTTTCTGACTTATCTTTGTTAAGTACTTTTCCTTGGAAATTTAATTGATTCATACCATGTGTCAAATTTTGATGCTGTAAATTCTACTTGCAGGTGAAACAGAAGCGGGCTACTGCTAACAAATCATCCACTGATAAACAGAGTAGTGGTCCTACAGGAACTGATGATGACAGTCTTCGGGCTGCTATTTTGGACGAAGCCACAATAGTATGTTTAGCCATTCTGTTGAGTGATTTAAAATAAGCGACTTTCTCAATGATAGGATCCAAGATAGGTATAGACAAAGAAGGAAGGGAAGCCCTTTTAAAATGGGGAATCAGAATCTTGCTTCACAAATTAATAAAGATAAAAGAAAATCTCTATTAAATATGAGCAAGAATCTTAACCTCATACAACTAATAAAGCCATAGGAGAATTTCCAAAATTACATAGAATTTCAAAAGTTATCCTCTGCTTAGCCTCACTAACTACTCTCTTATTTATGATTTAAAAATATACATTAAACAACAAATAAATTAGAAAATAATCCGCTAGATCCTAACCAACATTTACCCAATGATAAATAAAATCCTACGTGAAATATTTATGAATAATATCTCATTCTTATTTGCAATTAAAAATAATTAAGTCTTCCTAAAAAAATACTTGCAAACTGATCCACTATTTCACCCACAATACCATGATACACGGTACTTTGTAATGTAATGTTTTCTTTATGCTTGGCAGGTCTTCTCCACCCTCAGCTTTAGTGGTTCTCATGTTTTCAGTAAACTAAATCGTAGCTTTGATGTTGTGATCATAGATGAATCAGCGCAAGCTGTAAGTTTGCATCCTTTTTTATTTACTTCACGTGTTATTCAGTTGATAGATTTGCATATGGCTTAAATTGGCGAAGTTTGACTAAATTTCTTACACTTCCTAAGAATATTTCACCAGCCATTTGTATTTGGTATTTAGAATGGAATACCTATGTATGGAAGCACGTCAAACAGAAACATGGCAAATAACCTTCCTCCTGCTGCTTCCCTTCATTTCTTTTTCAAGAATCATTTTGCAACCAAGGTTGATTTTGGCAGGAAAAAAGAGGAAAAATAGATCTTCTGTCGTTCAGCAGTCTTTCTGACCTAATGCATTTCCTATTTTCTGGCAACATTTAGTTTAAAGGATTCTTTCCTTGTTTTAATTTCAGTGATAACATGTTAGATTTCTAACCTAGACAATGAGAATGGTGGAAGGGGACTGTAAGAGAAAAACTTGAATGATTATCGTTTATTGGGGGCTGCTCTTGACAAACGGATACGAAAACTACGCACTAAACATCAACTTTATAAATTTTCATGGTAATGAAACACGTTGAATTATGTGTAGTGTTGTTGAAACTAATTTCGTTTTGTTTTCTACCTATCATTTGTATCAACATTGTCTGTGCAGGCTGACACATGTAAATCTTGTCAGCTGTAGAATCTTAGGGTCATCTTGATAAATTTGCTCTGCTACCACTGGGTGGGATATTTAGCATGAAGTAACTCGTCTGCCTAAGTACAAAATGAATATGGGTTATTCTATATTTATATCTTGTATGAAGTATGACATTTACCCTTGAATAGGTGGAGCCTGCAACTCTTGTTCCCTTGGCCAATCAATGCAAAAAAGTTTTTCTGGTACGTTTTATTGTTGCTGCATTAGAAAAACCTACTCTATATTTTATGTTTTTATCAGTATTTTAACTTGCAATTATCATGCTTGAAAGAAAATAAATTCAAATTATGCTCAGTTTTCATTGGTTCATATATTTTTATTGTTAATAACATTTGAGATGCTGCTTAAGTTTGAGATTCAGAATTCACCTCGAGGATTAATATGTAAAACAGTGCCTGATAAAGTGGAAGGATTATTTTCATATTGTATTTTTTCCCGCTTCTTCTCACGGTTTCATTCATTAACATAAATAAATAAAAACTAGTTTTTAGAAATTAAAAGTGCTGAGCGTTGCATTTCAACAATAGTTGTTCCTCATCCTGTCCTGACTGTGGCTACGTTTTCCACTCCTTTCAGGTCGGAGATCCAGCTCAACTACCAGCAACTGTGATTTCAGAGGCAGCAAAGAATCATGGGTATGGATTATTTTCCCCAGTGATAGTGATACTCAACTTTATCCATTTTAGTTTTTTGGATTAAAACATTCACTTCATATAATTTGTGCGTTTATTTTTCTTGAATCAAAGGTATGGCAAAAGCTTGTTTGAAAGATTGAAAGAGGCTGGCTATCCTGTGATAATGTTAAAGACTCAATACCGAATGCATCCTGAGGTCAGTACATTAACGGCATATTCAGAAAATGGACTGTTGAATATACGTGATCTTACAGTTCATGTGTGAATGAATACTTGAGCTTGATATAATGGCCATCTGAAAACAAAATTCCAAGCCAGAGTTGTCAGGAAGATATCTCACCTACCTCCTTCCTTTCAAACAGTAAGAGTGAAGTCTTGCTGTAATTTATTGTTGGAACAATCAGTTATCAGGTTTCAACGGATCCCCTATTTCATATGGCCAGTGAGATTGAATTGCTGCTGGCTTTTTTGGCCCTCAATTTTTTTCCCTTTTGTTGTTGTCTAGGGGATATCTTCTATTCTAATACCCATCCTTATATCCGCCCTATAAATTATGCAAATAATAGAAATTATAGCGGAGTTGAACTTGAGTTTCCAGGATTTCATCTGCGGATTTGTATACAGTTATCCTGCATCTTATTATTTATGATAATTTATGTGACAAGTATTCTGATGTGTGACTCGCAACAGATTAGAAGCTTTCCTTCTAGAGAGTTCTATGAAGATTCACTGGAAGATGGGGAAGATGTCAAATTCCGGACAGAACGAGACTGGCATGAGTACTGTTGCTTTGGCCCATTTTGCTTCTTTGATATACACGAGGGACAAGAGGCCCGGCCAGCTGGAAGTGGTTCATGGGTTAACTCCAATGAAGTTGAATTCGTTCTGCTCCTATATCAAAAGCTGGTAACATTATATCCAGTGCTGAAGTCTGGTAACCTTGCGATAATTTCTCCCTATAGCCAACAAGTAAAGCTCTTGCAAAAACGTTTTGAAGAGGAGTTTGGAGTGTCAGCAGAGAAAGTAGTGGACATATGTACTGTTGATGGTTGCCAGGTAACCCAGCTCAATTTTATCACACAAATAAGGCAGTGATTTTATGGAGAGATTGAGTCCTCACTACTTATTTAACTATGCCTTGAAAATTTTAACAATAGATTATTTAATTCATAATATAACCGAAGAATTATTGCGAATATAGTTCTAATAGATGACTATGGAACACAAGATGCCTGGGAAGGTGCATATTTGAAAGGCTTTCAAATGATTCATGTTTAAGATATTCCATTCTGAGATGAATACAACCAGTGCCTGGATTGAATCATTGAATTATAGTTATAAATTGTTATACTTTAGAGTAATTCAAGGGAAGGAGATGCTACGTGTATTAGTCAAGTTTGAATGAGGGGTAACTTTCATCTTACATGGCTCACACATCTGATGTGCGATTAAAGGCTGCATTTTTCTGTCTTTTAGGGACGTGAAAAGGATATCGCAATCTTTTCTTGTGTCAGGGCAAGCAAGGAGAAAGGGATAGGGTTTTTAGAGGATGACCGGCGAATGAATGTCGGTATAACTCGGGCAAAGTCTGCAGTGTTGGTATTGTACCTTCAATGCCCAAGTTTCCTCTGTTACATGCATCTTAATGTGGTCATCTAAGTCTTGGTTCTTTTGATAGGTGGTTGGATCAGCCTCAACATTGAGGAGGAGTGAGCGATGGAATAAGCTTGTGGAAAGTGCTGAGAAGAGAGACGCTTTGTTCAAGGTGATATTCTGTGTAGTCAGTCATTCAGATGCTTAGTACATGCAATACAATCAAAATGTTCTGATGTTTTATTGTGATTCGAATTGAATACTGGAACCTGGGGAGCAACTTAACAATTTGGTGCTGTAGGTTGGCAAACCGTATTCTTCGTTCTTCAGCGATGAGAAGCTGAAATCCATGAAGGTAAAAATAACAGAAGCACCTCCGTTGGTGGCGGCAGCGGATGAGACTGATAATATTGTACCACTTGACAATGCTGCGGCAGATGCGGAACAAGAATTACCAGATTATGGGGATGGTGATGCGGACATGGAGTATGCCGGTTATGATGAAGATTAGTTTTGACAATTTAGATTGGATTTAGATTGTTCAAAATCGTTAATAATCCGGTTTGTCCAGAGTTTTGCTTTTCTTTTCTAAGATATAGGTTTTACTTAATATATATATCTTCCCCCAAGTCAAATTCTTACCCCGTATTTCCCCTTTATCTATGGGAGCTGGGAGGGCTTTAGAAGAATTGTAATTTCAACGCTTCCCCCCCCCCCCCCAAAAAAAAAAAAGGGCATGAGCATGAGAGCAGTTCCAGTGGATCACCAAATCATTTATGTGAAGAGGGAATTGCCATTTGATTATCAAAGCAGAATAGATCATCCACTTGTCAATTCTTATATGTACTTCGATTGGTGGACTTCGACGTCGGGGATTTTAGAAAACAATGGGCAAAATGTGCAAGTCTTTATTGTTTCCATTTCAACATCAAAAGGTGAATAAAACAATACAAACTTACGAGCGTATAGGTAACGAGATTATGACATAATGGAATTAGCATTAAGACTGGAATTGCCCAGTGAAATGTGAGTCTCGGATCAAAGCCACAGAATCATACAGAACAGTTAAGGTAACACAAGGTAAAGCCAAAGTGAAAATTTTTAGATTTCACTTTGGTATGTTCATCCATAAACTGGCTATGGTTACTGAACTTAATATCAATGAGCACATATATTTTGACAATTGAACAGGTGATGAAAACTTTACGGAACAAAATTTCCAGATTTCGGGATATGGTGGTGATTGACAAATGACAAACAACTACTAGAACCTGATATTTCAATTCCATGATCAATCTTTACATCATGTAAAACAGACCCTAAAAGCTTCCCCTTTTCCAACTCCCAAAAGAAAATTTTGTGGCTCATCAAAAACAAAATTTTCACCCACAAACATAACGGCAAGCCGTGCACTGATCAGTGGAGTGCTGCAATCCAAGCCCTACATCTGGATCAACACAGTGGCCGGCGCCATCCAACGGTTCATAGTTTTCAGGCATTTCTTTTGCATCAATCAACGGCTGAGGCATCTTCGGAACTTCGTCTACAAAATGGCCCATTTCAATCAGTTCATCTGAATCGCCTTTGAATGTTTCGATCAATGCAACCCCATGTTTGTTCGGCAGCCACACACCAGGGCTCATCGCTGTCGGTACCTCCATGTCAGAATATTCTAATGGTGGCGCAGATATCGAAGAATGACGATACCCCGGTGACTCAGAGGTTGGAGTTGGAGAATGCGAGACCACCGGCGGAAGAACATAGATATTTGCCGGCGATTCAGTGGTGCTAGCAGGAGATTGGCTAGTTTCCGGAGCAAGAATCATTATATTATCCAGGGGGTTCGGTTCATCGGATTTTGGAGGGTCAACTGCTCGTTTAAAGAGTAAATCAGCATGCGTATGGCTATTTTCCGGTGCATGAATTATTAGATTATCCGGAGAATTCGGTTCATCAGGCTCTGGAGGATCAACCGCTTGATGAAACGGCGACGCAGCGTGAAAATGGCTATTAGCATCGCTAGGTTCACGTGCCGGAGCGTGAGACTTTCTATTAGCTGGCGGAATATTTTCCCCTGGAGGGCGGGAGGTCGGACTCGGAGCCATAACCAAATGGCTCTCCGATGAACTAGAACCACTTCTTGAAGGGGATGACCGGCGATTACGAAAACCAACTGGAGAGCCGGAGACAGCTCCGGCGGCCGCACTCGACCGAAGACTGATGATGCCGTTAAGGCCATGAACAGCAACGTGCCGTCCGTAGAACAGACCGGGGAAAGCAACATTGACACCGCCGACGGAGACCGAGTCTGGGCTTTGGGTAACATTGAGGTAACGACGAGACAGGAGGGTGGGGAGAGAAGTACCAGGAGGGAGCCTGAGGAGATTGGTGATAGAGAGACGGCGAGGGACAATGTGAAAGCGGAGGGTGTCAATGTAAGACGACGCCGTCAGGGTCATGTCAAGAGAGAATAGGGAAGAATCGATGGGGGCGAAGAAGGTGTAGGAACGGAGACTTCTGGTGTTGTTTTGGCCGGAGAGAAGCTCGAATTGGAGGTCGGAGGTGACGATGGCGTTGCAGAAGAGTTCGTAACCTCGAATCCGTAGAGTGTCGAGCGTGGAATCTAGTTCCTCAGTAGGGATGGAGCTAAGGGCACTAGGGAGGAAAAAGATGCTGATGATGATAAAAACGACGGCGTGTTGTCGGAAATTGGGCGCCATTGACGGCGAGATCAAGAGCTTCTTCAAGACTGAGATGATCGTTTTCTTGAATTCCGTTTCGTTTTGGCGGGATTTTACTTAGCTGCGTCATAACGGAAATGGTCACGCTTTTCCAGTTTTATTGCGAAGTTGCCACCCTTCGGCATATAATATGGGCCTCTAAACGCCGCTTAGGCCCAAGTATGTGGGCCTCCTTTCTCGTTTTTTGATTCTCATAATATTATCGCGGGCTTTAGCTTTTAAAACATGTTTCTCTATCATTTAGGACCGGAGGAATATTTGATTATTTATATCTGTGTTAATATATATATTTCGTGGTATTTTAGTCATGGTATTATTATTATATCATATGTATCATTACCTCTGGTCATTAATATAATAACTACTTTGAATTTTAATTTAGTCCTAAATATAAGATATCAATCCATTTTGTTTCTCATATTTATCAATTTTTCCTAAAGTAGTCCCTATTCTTGTTTCACATATTAAATGTTTCATCAAATAATAGTTTTATTCAATATACATAATTAGTAAGGGTATTTTAATGAAAATAACATATTTATTACAAATAACTAATTTAACTAATTTTATTAATTTTTTTTTAAATTTGTTAATTAGGTCTTATAATGAAAACTAGAGGTAGTATTATACATGCAACCATATATAGGTATCATTATAAACAAATATAAGCCATTTTCAAAAGCCAATCTTCAACCTTCAAGGAAAATTAATGAAAAATCAGAAGAAAAATTAAGATAGGATGAATTTAACTATTATATAGCGCTTTAAATATTAATCAATTTTTAATGACAAGTTATTCCAATAACAGCACCACCTTTCACATTATATAAGGTCTGAGATTTGTATGCGTGTGTTTAAATTATATAAAATTATAAAAATATCAATCAATTTATATCTATTTTATTTAATAAGCTTCTCTCTATTGGTGATGCATAAGATAGCAGGGGAGTTTTCTGGTAAGTATTGAAAGGAATATTTTAGGGGGGAAAAAACAACAAAACATTTTTTTTACAAATAATTAATCAATTTTTTAATACATATAAATTAATTATATAATTCTTAGATCAAAGAGGGCATTTCAATTTTTAATTTTGTTTTTAGATGGGAAAAATATATTTATTGGCTAGTTAATTAGCAGCGTGACAAACTAGCTTTAGGTTATAGTCGCATAAAGGTGGGGCCTTTGGAACACCGACCAAATGGTTGCAATTGATAACGCTAATGCCGCCTTACTCAATCTCCATTATTGCTCATGAAATATTTTTTTTTTTCTAGGCATTATTATTATTTCTGGTCCTTGGGATTTGTATATATAAATAAAAGTTGATAACAACTACTTTAATTTTACTTTTAGATGAATCACGTTTTATAACGTGTAAAGTTGGTTTCTTGTGCTAATTAAACAACGAGCCGCCCAAATTAACCCCACACACACGTGTTTAATTCCTTTTAGTTTACCCTCTCTATTAATGATGATGCTCCTTAATTAATCCTTCCCATGCTACTCCAGGATTTAGAACTTAATTAATTATCCCTTAATTACCAAAAAAGCTGCTTTTTGTAATTATTAAACACGTTATTTTAAAAAAAAATGAAGCCAGGTGAGTGGGGTAGCAATTAAATTATATGGGGCAAGACTAGAATTTATTTAATAACACGGGAAAAAATTTGAATAGTCATGAAATAAAGAATTGGCTGTGTGATGCAGATATTTAGGGTATAATAACAATACATGATTCATAAAAAATGATCTTATTTAACGAAATAAATCTTCTAGCAGACGAAGGCAAGATTAATCTTTCTTTTTTTTTTCCCCAAATAGTAGCACCCAGTTTTTTTTTTTGGCCGGGGGAGCATTATACTTAAAGCTACTTCATAAATATTTCATTTATAAGGACTACTAATGAAAAATATATATTAATTTATTTTACGTAAAAAATACTCATAGTTTAAGGAATAAATTTGTGTTATGTGAGTGATAAATTTAATGACCTTTTTAGTAATTAATTAAATTTTGAATTTTTTTGTCATAACTCATACACCCATACTCCTCTTCTGATCCTATTTATGAGATATTTTCAACATGTTTAATACAGATTTAAAAAAAAAACTTAAATTGTATTAATTCTACCTTAAAATTTAATAAATTTTTAATTTTATTCCTATTTAATACAAATTATACTACATGAGAACAAATCAACACAATAATAAATTATATATTTATATAAAAGATTTCTTTTTTTTTTCTCTGCATCATAAATAAATAGGACTAAAAAAACTTTTTTGTGGGATGAGAGAATACATCATATGATATTTTCTGTTGAAGTTTGAAGCTCAGGACTTCACGTTGAAAAAAAAAAACTTTTTACACGTTAAAAAATTTTGAAAGAGAGAGTATAGAGTTTAGTAATCATTTGAGCCAGAAAACCCTAACAATTTTTTCACTATAATTCTCCCTTTCGTTATGCAGTTTTTTGAGGAAGTGGGGCAGGGTAGATATTACTACCTCTGGTCCTAATTATAAGAGCCAGTTGACTAATTTGAGGAGATTAAGGAAGTAAGTTGAGTTAGTTATTTGTCCTAAATAGGTCTTATCTTTCCCGAAATATCCTTGCTAATCAAGTGTATTGACTAGAACTATTATTGTTAGAAGGGCCTTTAGAAAAAAAAATGTATAAATATGAGAGACAAAGTGGATTGGGGTCTTATATTTAGGACCAAAATAAAATTCAAATAGGATCTTATATTAAGAATCAGAGGTAGTACTAAAGAAGATATAATCGTGTGAGATTAAATTATTAATGACAAGTGAAATCCGTTCACACTCCTTCACATGCATGATATGAAGAATTGGATATGATTAATTAGGTACGTACGTGTCCCAATGC